GATGAAAAACTCCTCCTTGCGTTTATGGCCATCTCCACCATTGAGAAAGGCCTCGCGGGCTTCTCCGTGCTCATCCAGCCCACTGGCCTCATGCGTCAGGTAGGAACCTGTGATGGCAGAAAAGGGGGGGGGGGGGAGAAAGAAATAAGGACTAAGTGGGTCCCCCAAACTGGCTCTACTCTTGCAGGGATTGTCCAGTTGATCCTTAATTTGGCGCTGTTCCCCCTTCTGGAGGTGATTCTGGAGCAATTATGGTCGATTGAACAGAAGTTCCCTCACCTTCTGTTGTACTTTAACATCTTAAGCAGGAGAAGAAAAAAAAAATCTGCCTTGGTTCTCAGTGGCTCTCACTGAACTGGAAGGTATGGCAGCTGAAGGATGAAAGATGATGATTACTCTCCATGCTGACATCAAGGAAGCTGGTTGGACCAGCTTTGGATGTCCCACTTGTATGACAAGACTTTATGCCAAGGGACCTCACCTTTATTCATTCCAACAAGAGTCACTAGTTGAGATGGGTGGCTACACAAATGGATTAAACCAACCAACCAACCCAGAAGACCACTCCTGATTGGCTAAAAGCAGACATGGCTCACCCTTCAGTTTACCTGAGGAGTGATCTCAGTATGGTTGCAAGAGCAAGAAGCAGCAGTTGAGGAAACACACACAACTTTAGATACTTCCCCTCAACAAAAAGAAAATCCCAAGAAATGAAACTGGACTGGCCTTTCACTAACACAGTATATTAAACCCATATTAGGGACTGCATCATGTGGCTCCAGGGTATTGGAGCAGCTGTGCCCATAGGGACCTTGTGTCTTGTTGTTATTCTCTGGGCAACAGAATAAAGATTATGAAGAAGAGCCAGGCTGGCATCTGGGTTTATGGTTTGGGCAGCCTTTGTCAACCCAATGCATTTCAGATGTTGTGACCATCACCCCCATCACTCCAGCCACAAGGGAAATAATAGCCATGTCGCTGCAACAGAAGTCATACAGCTGTTGCTCCAGGGTGGGAATGAGAGGTTCTGCTTTGCCTGGAAGACTTGTCTAAGAATACAAGTGAGATCAGAGGCCATCAGGGCTGAATCACAAACCCATCCCAATTGGATTGAATGCAAAAAAACAGCAGCTCCAGTCTAGGAAGGCAGACAATAATTCCTCTTGCAAACCAAAGGAGAACCAGCAAACCATGACACTCATAGATTATGTCAAGTGCAATCATATCTCACTCCAACTCACACACCTACATGCTGTTAGCTCTGGCACATTATATAAGGCATGTACAGGGCCAAGTTATTTGTGAGTCTGTTCCTCCCTGGAGACTGTCCCACTAGGTCAGATAGGGTGGGCATGTTCCAGGTCCCTGCTCTTAAATGCTGTCATCTGATGGGACCTTGGAGGCACACCTTCTCTGTGGCCACCCCAGACCTCTGGAATAGTCTGCCACCTGAGGTACGAGGGCCCCCTACCCTTCTAGCCTTCTGGAAGATGGTGAAGAGCTGGCTTTTCCCCCAAGCACTGGGCTAGAAGCATACCAACAGTATGGTTGGTCTGGCGCCTGGTGGGAAGGGTTTGTTCTGTTTTTATCTTGTTTGTGTTGATTGTTGTGAGATGCCTAGGATCACGGTGAGAGACAGGTGACCATATAAGTTCACTAAATAAATAAATTTGTGCCACAGTGGGACCACTGCGCACAGCCCACTGCCAGCTTCTTGGACTCAATGGTTCCTAGTTAGTCTCTCCATTCAGTGCCCACAGTGAGAAGAAAGAGCAAGTGGTTGCAGTGGTGCAGAAGAAGCCAAGAGAGGGCAGGTGAACGGGCACTACGAAGCTTCTCTTGGCTGTGTTTGCTCTACGCTTTGGAATTTGAATCTGACACTGGGTGGTTTGCAGAGAGATGCTGTGTCCTCCTTCCCACATTCCCAAGGGGGAAGATCATGGGTGAAGCTGCTCTGAAGCATCCTGTCTGGCCTTAGCACCTCAACCCAACGCTCTTCCCCCAGCCCCCAAATACACCCATGAAATGCCCACTCATAAGTAAGCAGAAAAGGAAAACTAGCTTCCCATTCACTGACTAGCGGTGAGAGACGAAGGTCACTCAGTAGCCCTCCTGGGTTCCCCCCATCCCTTCACTGACCTTTCTGCCGGATGGAGCACCACACCATGACTATGAGTACACAGATGACGAGAAAGACAAGGAGAGCCAGAATGCCCCCCACAATGGCATAGGGCACTGATGTCTGGGCCTCCACAATAGCCCCAGGATCTGCGGAGAAGAGGAAAAAGGGCGAAGGCATTAACCAAAGGCGGAAATGTCTCTTGCAAGAATTGCCCTGCTTTGCAAAACAAGGGAGTCTCCTCCACTTTTCTCATCTCTGGCTGCCCTCCTGGCAGCAGGAAGCCGAGTCCCTGAGTCAGCAGCAATTTCCACCTCAGGCCTCAGCAGAAAACTCCTCACCTTGACCTGGAAGGGTGAGCTTTGCAGTCTGGTTCTCACAAACAGCTGACTGATACTAGCAAAAAAGCAGCAACGCCATCTGGCCCAAAGGATTCAGCCCAACCTGCCCCCCCCATGCTAGGTTTACACAAAAGGCACTTTCCAGGGGGTAGGAGGGGGGTTAGTGTAGAAAGACACGTCTTCTCCACTCGGTCACCACCCAAAATGATGCCCGTGCTCGGAAACAAGACTGCATTCCTGCTGGGGGGTCTGGGAGCACCAAGTCCGAACGGAGCAACTGTCAGAAGATCCGGAACACGGGTTGAGGCAGAAACAGAGGAGGGCAGCAGAGATTTCGCTCACTTACCATAAACCACGAGCACGTACTGGTCCGAAGAGCGACCGTGTTTATTGGCCACCTGGCATGAGTAGGTGCCGTTATCCAGCATGCTGAGGCTGGGGATGGTCAGCACTTCGCCCTCTATCAAGGCCCGTTCTGGCAACGTGTCGTTCGCTCGGCTCCATTTGATGTCTCTGGGTCTTGAAACAGGCACCAGAAGAACCCGTTAGCCCATTCCTGATTCCCGGCCCCCTTCTCCGGTGCCCGCTTCTGGCCCCTCGCGTATCATCCTTTCCGCCCCCCCACTTTGGGAAAGCAGTTCTCTTCCCTTCAAGGTTATTCGCTGCCAGACCCGGTGATGGATGGAAGAGGGAGCAGGATCAAGCGGAGCTCGAGTCATAACTCTGCTCAGGAATTGTATCCATCAGTCAGGCTGGTCAGGGAAGAGGCAAGGACAGCCTGTATACCAAACTGGGGGACAAAATGGAGGATCTGGCCACCGGCCCCTGATGAGTTGGGATAGGCAGACATTTAGGCAAGAGCAGCTGGTTTTATTAAATTGTCGCCGGCTATGAAAACTCTGCCCAGGACAGGAACCCTGTCCCCGCTTGTGCCTGTTTGCACGAGCAGCAAAATGCAGAGGCTAGAGGTGGACCGGAATTGTTGATACGCCGTGTGTAAGGGGCAAGGGTGGGTTTGTCTCCTGCAATTCCTTTGCATGTTATTTTTGTCAAACTGTGTCTCCTTCACCAAGGTTATATCAAAACATGCCAAACCTGATCGTCAGAGGAGAAAAGTGACTCAAATGTGTACATGCCACCAACAGCTATCCCTCTTCTAAACTGCCATTTGCTGTGAAAACTGTCTCCCATGTCTCATTTTTCACACACGGACGCACACACCCAGGCACACACCATCTCTGAAACAGCTGATGTTCCAAGACAGAAAGGGCAAAATTTAGATCAACATCTTCTTAAAGACTGTGGGATAATTTGCACCAGATCAAAAAGGCTCTCCGCTGGTTTACAATGGCAAAAAATAGGGCTCCCCATCACCCATTCAACCGGTCAAATTGTGGCAATTAAGATTTAGATTTGCACAGTGGGGTGGCAGGACTGAATGAGTCTTGGAGTTCCTCCCCTCCTCCTCCTCCTCCTCCTCCTCATCATCTGTTATGGCCACCCACCCCATAGACTCTGGACTCAGTCCATGGTTGGACCTTCTCCACTCCAGCGTTCATTTTGCATTTGGTTCTGCCCCCACACCCAAAACCGTTATTTTGGAAATGGAATCAGTCGGTGGACCTTGGGATCTTAGTTCAAAAAAAAAAAAAAAAAAGCCAGAACCTGCAAACGTAAAATCTGCCCAGCTCTATTTTAAGGCACCCTATACACTGGGTTACAGATGGGGCAGGAAGATGAGCAGGAGGTCCTGATTATGAATGCATTGCCCAGCCTCAGTGGATCTGGAACAGAATCAAGACAGGCAATATACAGTGGGGCAAAAAAGTATTTAGTCAGCCACCAATTGTGCAAGTTCTCCCACTTAAAAAGATGAGAGAG